GAGAATTCATATGCAAGAATCGACTTCGCATTGCATAAACCAAATTCACACAACAAATGAATGAGTTGTTGAATAGACAATTAAAAATATATTTCAATGAACAAAAGGGGCAGACACATTATGAGGAGATAAGAGATGGACAAAGAAAACTAGTTCATATGCAAACAGCATCAGCTTGGACTTTGCCCTATCAACATGGAAGGAGAAAAAAATAACGAGAGATTGCAAAAGAAAGCTAATTAATCACATGGACCTTTGGCACACGCAACAATAGGGGAAGTCCACCTAATTTCAAGGTCATCTGTATTTTGAGGTTTGGCTCTCGTATGCCGTCATTCGGAAATTGTTATCAGGATCTATCTTTTATCGCTCTTGACCACGTTTGAGCACAGTCTGTCCCTGTTTTATGTTCTCGTTCCATGAAGGATCCACTGCAGGTAGTTGATATTCATCCGGTTTCAATGCCAGAGCAAAATCGGGAAGCGTTGGGGCTGTCTCCATGATTCTGAAGGTAAAATTACCAACCAAAGGTTATTATCCTCATTAAACTTTGTTTATTAGCCAAAGAACTAACTGAAAATATAGAAACTGGAAACTGCATTTATAGTTGTTGAAGTAACACTTACTTTTCATGGGAGTATAGATCACGGTTTATCCGCACCTTACTAGAGGTATCTTTCGGAATTTTCTCAAAGAGATATTTCATGGTCCCCCAAAGTGGTGGATTTCTGCAACAACATCAAGAACATTAGCTGTTATATTCATAAAAAAAAAGTCTGTAAAAGGAAGTGCACTAAAAGGAAACTTAGAAACCACGTGTCCCAAAAAGATTGCCATTGGTGTTAATTCAGCAAATCCAGCAGGTTTCCAAAATGCAAATGGAGAGAAATACCCAACAGCATGCGGGCAGGATTATGCATGCACAAGACTGAAGGACTCACAAGGCTGGTTGCAAGATATTAATGGTAAGTAATATGTAATTTTGTGTGTATATTTACGACCATGCATGGAATAAATAAAAATTTAGAATCGTGCACATGAAAATGTTTAAAATTCAAGTGTTTCAGATTAACAACTTTTCTCTCTATCACGAACAGGCAAAAGGTTGTGTATGCTTACAGAAACCTTTATGGCAGCTCAGTGGTAGCGGTTGGTGATGAATGATGGAGCTGTTTCAGTTGAAGTTATAAGGACATTTTGAGAGGCATGTGACTTTCGATCGAATTTGAAGGGAGGCTGGTATGGTACTTAGGTTATCTCAACCAGAGCTACACTGTGTAAATAAATTTTAAGTTTGAATTATAATCAGAGCTTGTTTAGTTCCAATATCTTCATTTTCCAGTCCATGAAAAAAAAAGGCCAGTATTGCTGCAATAAAAACATTTGACCATGAGCATGACCACTGCTGGGTTGGTAATAAGGGTTGGGCAGCAATGAGGACAAGAAATAATCTCTAGGAGGACCACTAATCCACACTAATTCACTAATCCACACTTAAGAGAAATTTGTTGATCTTCTTCTGCAGTTTGTAGAGAGGCTATGGCCATACCTTGACAAAGGAGGGGCTACAGTAAATGCCTCACATGCCTTTTTACTTTCTTTAAAATATTCATCTGCAGCTTGTAGAGCAGCTACTGCCATGCCATGAGATTTCTCCGTGTTTCCTTCGTCCAGGATCAAACCATGATAATAATATGCTGCAGCCTGATGTAAAGAAAACGGAAAAAGAAAATCACGATTGGACTAATTAGCAACAAGCGAGAAATGAAGCTTCAAACTGGCTAAAATACTAGCACCATATCTTAGAATCAGAACTCAATAATGGTGACATTTTTGACCCAACATAAAGTTTATATATAAAAGACAACATTTTGAACACAATAACTGACAAAATTCCATTACTTCTAATTTCTTTTAAGAAAGGTCACCATTTACTGGGAACAAGGATGCATCCAGAATGGTGGCAGTGTGCACAGGCCACTGTCCCCATTGGATCCTAAAAAATCCTAAGAAAATAAATGAGAATATCTAAAAGTAATCCTTAATGTAAACAATTACAATCATTTTTTTTCTCACATCAATTCTTCAACCAAACCTTCTTGATAATATAAAAAAGTCCATTCCCAGATTTCATATAAATATAATTAAACTATTTACCAAAAAAGAAAAAATATAATTAAAATATAATTAACTTTTCAAGTTTTTTGGGAACTACAGAATCTACACAGAATATGCTAGAACTGTCATGCTTTAAGTCCAACTTTACCAATTCCATACATACCATCAGGTCTAAATAATCCTCTGCTGTTTTCAAATCATGGCTTTGCTTGTCAGTACGAAATATTTTTATACAATATAATCATTATCTGTAACAATATTAAGATTGGAGTAACATCATTTTGCTTATTCTAACATGAAATAGAAGACCTTATTTAATCTGCTAGATCATATCTCTCTTGACCGATGGGGTCATTCAAATGTCCCAGCCCTTGGGGAGCTACTTAGATACTCCAGCAAACAAATATCCTTTTACATGCTACTTCGATCAATAATCAATAATTTTTAAGTTTTCCTGAAAGATTCTACCAATTGAAATTTCATGAAACAAAATGCCTCATCAGAGCATGATTTCTGACGAGCATAATCACATCTTTCAGCTAGCAAGACAAAAAGAGCAACAAGAGATGAAAGCAAACATGGTTTACCTTTGCTTCTATATATTTCCACTTTACAAAGAATCGATGCTTTTCACCCCAGCCATTTGATAATGGAAGATTCATAATGTTATCTTGTGCCTGTTAAGCAAACAGCAGAGAACAGAAATTAATTCAAATTCACTTACTGCACTGTATTAAAAAATGACATTAAGGGTTTAGGATGCAACAGGAATAAGTTAGAAGAAAAATTATCATAAGTCAGGTAATAAAAATAAGAGTTAATCTATCCAAGAAAATAATACAATTTCTGAAATAAGATCCCCAAAGTGAAATAAATGGTACTGATCTACAGTCTTATCTTGCAATGGAATCTTAAAAATCCTAGACTTTAAGAACGTAAACTTGATTTGTATAGCTCAAGAAACGATAAACAGTTGATGAATCCATACCTGCTGCCAGTACTTTACCATTTCACATGCAAGCCTTCTCTTAACAGCAAGGGTAGCCTTTGTACTATCAATTGCCATTCCTAGTTGGATATCAACACCCTATGCCATACAACAGGAGAATCTTTAGACCAAAATGTTAAAAAAGGCACCCAAAGACTGCATCCTTAAATTGATTTTTATCATCATTATAAAAAGGGTGCATCTGACCGACTTGATACCTGTGCAAATTTGCTCCTCATAGAGCATGAAAATTTTGAACATATTGAGAATGTGAGAAGTAGCATTGTGTGTATTTCATATCCCTCAACTATACATGCATGGGGAGGGAAGGGGTAGAGGACATAGAAGCAACTTATCAAGGATTTCTCTATCTGTTCTTTCAAAAGAAAGCACAGCAAAAATATGTATTTGTTAATATTGTGTATTATGAGCTTCAAGGCCAAAAAAAAGAGTATTATGAGGTTCAACCAAGTTCAAATTTTTAAAGTTCTGAGAGGTCTAAAACTCAACAGAAATATCATGCTAAGGAATCTGAGGCCATAAATGAAGAGTCCTGAAAAGGCAGTCAGTGCTTGGATTGGTAAAGATAAGCACATAATTTCTCCCTTGGAATCTACGTAGGAATATTGAGGAATACTCTAGGCAACACTTTTTCCCATAATCAGCTAAACATAAGTAGAAAATCAAATTAAGTTGTACCCAAAAAAATAAGTAGAAAGTTAACTTGGCAGACTGATGAATGAACAGAACACTGTCTGGTATGACCTCGTCCTACATTATAATTCATGCACAAGGTCCAAATGAACACCACAGAGTAACTAGTATCAAAATGAAAAAATCTGTTTTGTACAAATCATCCACCAAGATCACAACCTATTGCTTTATAATACTCACATTGTTCATGGTCTGGAACAAAAGTACAATTGGGCTAAAAACTTCAGCTTTCAGTAGAAGTGACCAGTTAACGTAATCTAATTATTGCTCCACTTAATCTGAAAGTTAGATTCTTTTTATGTTTCTCTCAGCTTAAAATATTCACCAACAAACATAGAAAAATGCTGCCTGCTTTGTTATGCACATGACTGACGGTGTACTCTGCAAAAAATTTCTCTTCCATCGGCTTCCCTTGCTAAGGTTTAAACAAAAATCCTATATTTCAAAAACAACTATTTTTTTTTCCTGAATGTGTCTAGAATATTCAAGTTTCAGCAGATATAACAGTAGCAAAAACAGAAACCCACATCTATGCTCCTGCTTAACCAAACTACAATAACAGTGAGGGAAGGAAAAGCATAATACAACATAGTTGTAAGAGATGCTAATCTATTTTTCCTCAGGTCCCTTGATCCATTCAATTATTCAATAGGCTGCCATTGGGAAAACTGCAGGAAGTCCAAAGGGTTGTTCATGTACCTCTACTATTAACCACTTGAAAAGTTTGCAAGTATTCAATTTTATCTTTCGTTTCAAACCTTATGAGCAATTTAAATAATACAGTCTTAAATATTAACATATATTTAGGGATTCTAGCATGAAAATAAGAAACAGTACATCTGATTTTTTGAGAAAAAGTAGACTCCAGTTTTTTTAAATTCCAACTTACACATAGCATATTTCCTGTTTATCCCATTAGGTCCAGTTTAGTTTCACATAAATTGGGAAAAGAAACATTATTGTTCTTGTGCTTCATATATATAACATTTCATTGTCTGCATAAGAGCTTGTGTGGTTTGAGGGGAGGGGAGTGGGGGAGAAGTTTCCCCATTTGAAAAAAAATATAAAAAAATAGGAGAGAGGGGAGTGGTGTTCCCTTATTTTGCTTTAATTTCCCTTTCCTTTGCATTTTAGTATATCCAAATGAGAGAAAGGGAGGAGAGGGGAGGGGAGAGAAAGGAAGGCAAATGGAAGGAAATTGTCTCCCCTCCCCTCTCTTCTTCTCCATTTCCCTCAAACCAAACAGGCACTGATTGGTTAAGTTGGTTTGTTAAGCGCCATACTATAAATCTAGTTACTCATGGCAATTTAATCTTTACATAAAATTGGTTTTCACCAGTCAAGATAATGTTTACAGTTACTAAAAAAGCATATAAATCCAGTGAAGTATCAGAAAAGTCCCAGCTGCATGCATGCCCAACAAGCAACCTAACAGTTACTACCCATATGCATCCAGAGAGGAAGAGAATACCTGCCCTAGTGCCTGCAAGCAAAGTGCTCGAAGCACCCCTTCAGCTAGGTCTACTGGTAAATTTCTCCTACAATCAGAGCAGAGACTCACTGGTTAAAGACAAACTTGAAAACCTGAAGATGATAGTAAAGACACTAAGTAAATTGACTGCAATCTTTCATCCCTATAAACCTGAGTTCAGCTGACAACTGGGGGAGAACCTGTCGGACAGCGCAGTCCAAATAACCCGCTGCCTTCAAGAAAATATCAATAGAAGCTCGCCTGCTTTCTGACACAAATCAATGAAAATGATACTAGTTGGGGCAGCAGAAAATATACTAAAGAAAGCACAAATATAAAATGAACATCCAAGCAGGAAAGCAGCCTACACGTTCATTTCTACTAAATTTAAATAATATAACTAGCACACCTAACATGACACATCTATTGGTAACTTATCTCAACAAAACAAAGAATGGCTAGTACAAGCACAACACACATCAGATTCATTTAAAGTTCAGCTAACTTGAAAGTCACAGACCCCGAAGAAATCATTATTCAAATCAAATAAGAACTGACAACAGCATTAAAGAATATTTTAAGATTAGTAGACAGATTTTAGTTAAAGCATACTCTCAAATCTTCAGGGTGTAGTAGTAAATGAGAAATTTCAGAATGTCAAATCTCAGACACATATTTGATTGCATCACAGCACAGTATAGTATGCCACTGAGTTGAAACTAAACTGCATCTACTAACAATACCAAAATGATTTGATGAGAATGTTTTTATAAAAATCACCTCATATGTCAGTTTTGCCCATATTCAAAACAAGCAGATTAAAGAAGCCATGTCACTAATACATACATATACTATAGCTGTCATAGTCACCATATCTTCCTTGAAAGTTATTATAATTTATAAGCAGACCAACTGACTATAGTACTAGTCACTCTGAAAATAAGATTGAGGACATGCTGCACACATCAAATTTAAAAACAACAAAAAGTCATAACATATAATTTCAATTTTTTAACATAACAGGCATGACAGCTGAGAAAAAGAGAGAGAGAGAGAGAAAAAGAAACCTATAGAAGTCTGAATAGTCTTTTCTCCAGCACAAACATACCTTCTGATACTTTTGGTTGGTGACCATCAGTAGAAGTCCTTGGAAGAAGCAACAAATTGGCCCTTGATAATGATAGCATTGCCATCAAGTGCAAGACAGACAAAACCTCGTACCAAGCATTAGACATGGCAGTTTCCTGCCAAAAAATTTTTTGGTTCAAATCCAACAGTCCTCAAAGAAACAAATGACACACCAAAAAAGAAAATAAAAGTATAAAAAGAAATGGTTTAATAACATCTTAGTTCCAAAAATCCCACCTCTGCCTCATCCTCCTGGTTTACCCAAACAAACTGTACTTTGTATTGTAGATGACTCCCTGAATTATAACAGAGCAATTGACCAAAAAAATAAAAAAAGAATTATAACAAAGCAAAATAGCATTAACTCTATCAAACAGTGCAATTGTGCAGTTTAAATAGAACAAAAGTAAAGTACATGCTTTACCATCTTTAACTAATCCCAAAAGAACAGGCAAGTAATCTACAAGAGCCTGATGAAGATCAGCCAATGTTGAACCTCCTGTTGACAATAATTCAAATTAATATATCAGGAAGATCATTTACCACCCTTTTTTAGAAAATATCTGGTTTTCTCGAAACTAACCATGTTGTGTAGCACTTTTTCTCCTTGTTCTTGTAATTGTAGGTGCTTCTTGGCCAGCCATAACAACTATACGAGTTCTGAGAGCATTCAGGCGTTCAACTAAAGTCTTTGGCAACTGATCACCTAATGACAGGGAGAAATCAACAGGTTTGGGAATTCGTAAACCCGGTACATATACAGAAACTTCCCCAATATTCCCTGGCCTTCTCCTGTTTCCACCAGAATCCTTCGGTGTTGATACAAAACATCCCATATCCTCAGAGTTGCTCTATCTGTTATTCCAGGGAAAAGAATTATATGATACCTCGGGCATGAAAATTGAAGATTTTGGAATCAGGTTACAGCTGATAGATTCTTCTAAACTAGAGCTGGGATAGAAGATGATTGAAATTGGAAGTTCAAGGAACATTGACATTGCACAGAGAGACCAAGAATATTAGCAGTAAACAAGCCAAAGAAATAATTAAATGTCCAACCAACAAAGCAGAATTAGTAGGTGACTCACGAGCGGCATCGAAGGACTCTAACTAGAACTCCCCAAAAGTTTTGAAAAATGATTTTATAAATAAATAATATGCCTAAAAGATGATGATGATGAAGAAGAAGAAGAAGAAAAGAGCAATATTACCATGGACCAAAAGCTGTGCCAGAGATGGGTCTACTTACCTTGTCTCTTACAAAAGGTTAATTAATGGGTCAACGCTCTAGAAATTTCCGCACCCAAAAGAAATTAAGTGAGAAAATCAAACAATGACGCCAATGCAGGCAACCTAAGTAAAGAAAAGCTGCTGAATCACATGCAACTCATGAAACTTTGACAATTCACTATCTTTTCCATATTGGAAATTAAAAGTGATTAAAAGGGTATATCATTATCATCACTTCTCTTTCTCATAGCAAAATGTTGAGGGAGGAAGCCATATACTTTATCATTACGCATCAAAACTCAATTGAAAAATGTGAAAGTGAACAAATTCGAATTGAAAAATTTTCAAAACTAAATTGAGAAGCAGCTTGAACAAGATGGGAGGTGGGCTGTAGATTGGGAAGTCATAATAACCGCATACAATATGTTGAATGAGTAGGAGTAGAAGAAGGAGTTTATGAAAGATTGCGAGTAAAGCATCCCCAAATGGGTCTAAATGGAGACAAGGAACCTCCCCACCAAAGCAAAGTTACGCAAGCTTTCCTTGGAATATCAAATTGATCTTAGCAAAAAGTACAGGAACAAACACCCCAATTGTGGAAACAGGAAAGACAAAAAAGGGGAACTAACCTTAAAAATGAAAACTTTAGCATCAAAAAGGAATCTTTTCCCCATCCCTTTTCTCAACAACCAAACAGAAACATTTCTTTTTTGATAAACAGAAAAAAAAAAATCAAAAACGATTTGATAACAGAAAGATAGGCTGAAAAGCATGAAGAATGGAAAAAATCCTTACTCTGTAACTGTTCTGGGATTGTCTCAAAACCCTAGAAAATGCGGTTTTGCATCAAATTCAGAGCACAGACAATTTGAAATTCCCTATTTACAATTCGGATGAGGTGATTGGAGAAGAGAGAGAGAGTCTCTGGGACGTAGGTGCAGAAGGTTGAATTGAATCCAAGATGGAAAGGAACAGAAACAAATATTGAAACTTGTTGACAAATGAAATGAAATGATGATGATGATGATGATGATGATTATGAGAAGCAGCTGTTGGGATTTATATACATATATAGATTGAGGAAAATGTAAAACTACCATTGCAAGGGTAATATATTATATACCATTACGTTATGGAGTGTTTTTTTTTTCTTTTTTTTTTCTTTTTTGGGGGGCCAACTTTTTATGGAGTTTAATTGGCGCCTAACTCTCTGTATTTGCAGTTAAATTTATTTTATTTTATTTTTGACTTTCAGTAAAATTTAAATTAAACAAGACAACATCTGCCGTCTGTATGTCACTCTCAGCGTGGTGCGCGCAGTCCAATTGTCAAAAACTTTTACTCCACCTTTTCCCTCATCCAACCCAAAATTTCTGTGAAAAAGATAATGAAGTTGTGTACTTGCGTTGTCCCACTTGTTTTTTTTCCATAGCCATCGGGTGTCCTGACCCAATTTACGCATCTTAAAATTTTTCACAACTGTTTTTTTTTATATATCTATATATTAAAGAGTTAGTTTTTAATAATTGATTTTGATTTTAAATTAATATTTTTAAATTAATAAATATTAATTTTTATCAATTAATTATTAAAAAA